TGTACTTCTTCCAAGACAGATTTGTTCGTTCTTCTGGCAGTCCATGGTATATTGAATATTCTTTGCCAACACCATAATTCAAAGGCATCAATTCTTCTGTCTTCCTATTCATTGTCCACCTTTCACGTGCATGTGAGGTGACTGGAAATACTGTGGCTTGGATCAGGTGCATCTTAGTCCTCAAGGGGAAATCTTTGCTTTTTAACACTTGAAAGATGTCTTTTGCAGCAGACTTAACCCAATGCAATGCATCATTTGATTTCTTGACCTCTGCTTCCATGGGCGTTGACTGTGGATCCAAGTAAGATGAAATCTTTGACAACTTCAGTCTTCTCTCTGTTTATCATGATGTTGCTTATTGGTGCAGTTGTGAGGATTATTGTTTTCTTTATGTTGAGATGTAATCTGTACTGAAGGCTGTGGTCTTTGATCCTCATCGGTAGGTGCTTCAAGTTCTCTTGGCTTTCAGCAAGCAGGGCTGTGTCATCTGCATATCACAGATTGTTAATGAGTCTTCCTCCAATCCTGATGCTGCGTTCTTGTTCATACAGTCCAGCTTCTCGGATTATTTGCTCAGCATACAGATTGAAGTGTTGTTGTTGTTAGGTGCCATCAAGTTGGTTCCTAGTCATAGCAACCCTGTATATAACAGAACGAAACACTGCCCGGTCCTGTGCCATCCTGACAATTGTTGTTAGGCTTGAGCCCATTGTTGTAGCCACTGTGTCAGTCCATCTCATTGACGGTCTTCCTCTTTTTCACTGACCCATTTGGATTCTATTAATAATGAGACAATCAGCTTTTCGTATTTGTATCAGTGATTTGTATTTCATTTCTGTGCAAGTTCTTGTCTTCTGCCCATTTTTCTCTAATGGGTTGTCTTTTTCTTATTGATCTGGAGGAATGCTTTAAATATTCTTGATACTAATCTTTTGCTGATTCTGTATGTTGGAAATATCATCTCCCAGTTCGAAGCTTTTTTTTTTCATTTTTTAAATGGGATCCTTTGATGAACAGATGTTCTGCATTTTAATTTAACAGAATTTATTCCCCCCATTTGTATTGTTTGTGTCTTGTTTGAGAAATCTGTCTATTTGTACCATAAAAATATTCTGTATTGTCTTCTATAAGGAATGTAAATGCCTTTAACATTTAAGTTATTAATCTATCTGGAATTGGTTATGTTTATGGTGTAAAGTGGATTTCAGTTGCCTTTTATTGTTAGCTGTCTTTGAGTTGGTCTCTGACTCATGGTGACCACTCCATGTGTAATGGATGAATTGGACCATTGTGATCCATAGGGTTTACGTTAGCTGCTTTTTGGAAGTAGATCACCAGGCCTTTTTCCCCAGCATCATACCAGCATGCAAGCCTCCACTGACAGCTAGGTGGTGGCTGCACATGAGGTGCATTGGCTGGGAATCGAACCTGGGTGTCCTGTCACTGAACTATCACTGCCCTTTTTTATTTACTTTAATAATTTTTTTTTTCGCATAAGTGGGGAGAGGTTATACAGTTGTCGCAGCACCATTTAATAGTCATCCTTTTTTCACTGAGCAGTACTCTAGAACGGCTTTGAGTAGAAGAACCAACAGTGTGAATCCTTTTTTTATTTTATTTTTAAGATAATACATCTGAAGTTTTCACCATTGAATACCATGTTTTTTTAGATTTGTTTTACCCTTTAAAGAAATTCCCTTCTTTTCCCTAATTTTCTAAAAGAGTTTGAAACATACATGGATGGTGAATTTTATTAAATGCTTTTTCTGCAGCTCTTGAAATGATTCTATGTTTTTTTCTCCTTTAATCTGTTAATGAGGGGAATTAACAGATTTTCTAATGTTTAACTACTCTTGCATTTCTGGGAAGAATCCAACTTGGTCTATGATATATATATATTTTTTATACAATCCTAGATTAACTTAGCCAGTATTAATTCAATTAGTAGGTTTGTCTGAAAATAGCTGTTTAAAAATGTTATAATGTAAGCATTTTTTGTAATTTTACAGCAGAAAATATAGGTGCAGAACTCAAAGCTCCACTTCTTAAGCAAGAACCTCTCCAAGTAAGAGGTAAATGTATTTTATTTTTTATTAAAGTGATGTCTTGAATAAAATATACAAAAATTAGTTTCTCTGGTTATATTATCTAAGGGTATATAGTTCTCATGAGCTAATTTTTCATTGTAGTTTATTTTGCATTTTGGTTTGTGATTTGCATTTGTGGTAATTCTTTTTTCAAAAGCCCAAAGAAGTAATGGCAAATAAAAACCATCAATTGCTTTATCATTTTTAGAAAAATAATGTGAATAAAAAACAAAGGGTTCAACACCTTTCAGCTATAGCTTGTTCAAATCCAGGTGGTATGGACATTCTTACCTGACTTTCTTTTTCAGATATCATTGAGCGTTGAAGGAATCTCTGTTTGCAGCCCTGCTCTTTATCAAGAGCTATGGCTCCTATCTCCAAAGCAGCACATTTCATGGAGGCAGTAAATCTATGTGATGATGAGTACCATGACTTTGGGGTCAGACAAATCTGGGTTCAGTTTGTGGCTCCAGCACTTACTAGCTGTGTGACCTTGGGTAATTTACTTTACCTCTCTGAGCCTTAGTTTTTTCCTCATAAGATGGTGCTAAAAGTTGGACTTCTTTTCTAGGGTGACTTTGAAGATAACACATAGTAGACAGTTACAATTAAGACTAGTTAATGTTGGGGTAGCAGTTATCATCAGCATCAATAATTTGTGCCAGGATAGGCCAGCAGGGATTTCTAGCAACTTTAAACAGACTTTTAAAAACTAATCTTTGTAAAAAAAAACAAAAAGCAAACCTGTTGCCATTGAGTCGATTCAGACTCATAGCGACCCTATAGGACAGAGTAGAACTACCCCATAGGGTTTCCAGGGAGCAGCTCGTGGTTTCAAACTGCCAACCTTTTGGTTAGCAGCCGTAGCTCTTACTTAACCACTGCACCACCAGGCCCCCAGTCTTTGTAAAGAGAGATGTAATTCTCCTTTCTGCTCCAAAGGAGTTCATCTGGGTTTTGAGTTTTAGGAATATTGGAGTAAGGCAGTTTAGATTTGAAATTCATGTAAAAAGAAACCTGAACTTCCTTACATACCTTTTTTCAAATAAGGTTTCGATTTTTATATTGAACTTTATTTTTGAAATGTTCTTATTATGTAGTAATTGTTCATTGACTTTAGTAGGTAAAGTGTTATTTTAGAAGTCTTTTTACCCACTATAGTTATAGGTAATTTTAGGCTTACTTTACTCTTTCAGCTTGCAAATAGAATAGAAAACTCATAAATTAATAGATATGAGTATAAAATATGTAGTGACTAGTGACAGTTCGAAATAGAGCGCGCTAGTTTCTCATTTTGCTCTTGCTCTTCAAATGTTTGCTTATGTCATTTGTCTGTATTATGTGGCTAAAAGTCTTAACTTTATAATGATTTGAAAACATAATAATAGACCCTTGAGATAATTTTTAACTCACAGACTGTTATTGATGCCAAGTTGGTATTTTGTTATTGGTGTCTCTGGCTGTCATTTTACAAGCAGCTTAGGCACTTGTCAATAGGAAAACAATTTGGTAGAAGACAGTATTCTACCTATAATCTGTAATAGGGAGACCTGGTGGTGCAGTGATTAAAGCACTTGGCTGCTAAACAAAAGGTTGGTGGTTTGAATCCACCCGCTGCTCCACTGGAGAAAAATGTGGCAGTCTGCTTCCGTAAAGATTACAGCCTTGAAACCCTATGGGGCAGTTCTACTCTGTCCTGTAGGGTTGCTATGAGTCAGAATCGACAACAGCAATGGGTTTTGTTTTGTTTTTTTTTGAATCTGCAATAAACTTTCTATAATTTTTTTATTGTGGTAAAAATACGTATAACAAAGCATTTGCCATTTCAACCCTTCTGTAATTTTTAGATGATAAAAAATGTTCTTTAGTTTGCTTCAGCTTTGTTAATAACATTATGTAAAATAGTCCAGTGGCTCTCCAACTTTTTTGACTGCAGCCCACATAAGAAATACATTTTACTTAATGATCTAGCATACACAGTTACACAATCATTATATGTAACTGAAACAGAAGTTTTCACAAAAAGTACTAATTCTTAATTATGTGCAGTACTCTTTGATTACTTTCTGTTTTCATTTTTTATAAAATGCTGATGTCGCCCCACAGTTTGTAAACCACTGAACTAGCTAGTAATTTTTTATTGAAACATCAGTTAATTTTCACTTAGGTACTGAGCAATTTAAGTTGTTATTAATTCAATTTAGCCAGACTAATAATACCTATAAAAGGTGTCCATTAGAGACAAATGGTAGCATTTTGGCATCAGTTACTGATAAAATACTGAAATAAAAGCTAGATGGTTGCAAAGGTAATTCCATCCTATTCTGCACTGGAGGATTATTTTTTCCTGATGCCATTCACTGCATCAGCAAAAAGATCAATTTTCTTTGGAGTTCGTTAGTGAACCCACTTAAGTATCAGGATATGTTCATCTTGAAACAGGACTTTAATGTGCATATTTGATGTGTTTTCCTATGTTTTTGGTTTTAGTCAAAGCAGTCCTTAAGAAGAGGGAGTATGGACCAAAGTATACTCAGAATAATTTCATCACTGGAGTCAGAGCAATAAATGAGTTCTGCCTTAAATCCAGGTACAATGAATAATTTAAAAAAAAAAAAAAGTAGTTTACCCTATTTAATAACTATTTTTTAAATTGTTGTAAAAATAAATATAGCACATTTGCCAATTCATCATTTTTCACGCGTACAATTTAGTGATATCAATTACATTAATCATATTGTACAACCAAAAACTCATTGCCATAGAGTCAATTCTGACTCATAGCAACCCTATAGGAGAGTAGAACTTTCACCAGAGGGTTTCCAAGGAACAGCTGGTAGATTTGAACTGCCGACCTTTTGGTTAGCAGCCGGGCTCTTAACCACTGCCCCTGCAGGACTCCGTTTTACAACCATGACCCAAAATTGTTTCTCAGTTTCCTGTCACCATAAACAGAAACTCACTACTTCAGCAGTGACTTGCTCTTTCTCCCTACCTCGTGTTCCTGGTAAATAACCATTTATACCTTACTGTGTATTATCTGCTACCATCCATATACAGAAACTTTCCCGCTGGCTCCTTTCTAAAGTGAAAAAACATTTTTATTCAGTCAAAATGTTAAAAAATTGTTAGCTTACTAAACTGAATTCTGCCTCTGCATAAGCAATTCCCATCTTTTTTTGCTTCTTAAACTCAAAGGCAAGTTCTCCAAAACCTCTGTATCATACAGGGACCTTCTTATGAGTTTTATTGTTAGGTTAAAGGCATATAGCAGACTTTCCAATAAGTTTATTTGCATATTTGTATGCTTGACTTTAAAAAAATTTTTTTGTTGCTTTTTTGCCTAGTAGGGTTGAGTCCTTAATTTAGTTACATTTATGTTCACATTCCAGCTTTGGTTGCAGTTGTGGGTAAATTCTTTTTACTTCTTTCTGGTATCTTTTGTTATTCATTTTTTTTATCATAGAGATTTACTGAAATTATATTTGTTACAAATTGAAATTTTCCCCCTCCTCCGAGGGCTTACCTGGAAAAGCCATATTTATGTGGAAGATTTCTTGCTAATTAGAGAGATCAGATTATCCAGCCTTTTTTTCCCTCCTCCCTCATGGTCACATCTTCCATGGCATATTATCAAGAAGTAAAGATTGTTGTAATCAGTTTTATAACTTTCATAACTATTAAAACAGCAGCCAGTAATAACATTGGTGTAAAGCTATAATCTGTTCAAGTATGTTTCACATAGAGTATTTCATTTAGTTCTCACAAAAATTCTGTGAGTTGAGTGATGTATTGCTATTTCCACATTATAGGCCAGGAAACGCAGTACAAGAAGTTAATGATTTGACCCGGCCCACTTAGTAAGACAGTGATAGAGGGAAGTAGAATACATATCTTTTGATGTCTGGTCCAAAATTTTTACTAACCTGTGATAGCTGGTGATTTTTTTTTTTAAATTCAGATTTAATTTCTAGAACTTAGTAACTTTCCACGGAGTTCCTTGGTGGTGTAAACACTTAACACGCTTGACTGCTAACCGAAAGGTTGGCTATTCGAGTACAACCAGAGGTGCTTTGGAAGAAAGGCCTGGCAGTCTACCTCTGAAAAATCAGCCATTGAAAACCCTGTGGAGCACAGCTCTACTCTAACACATTTGGGGTTGCCATGAGTCAGAATCGGCTCAACAGCAATTGGTCTGATTTTTAGTAACATCCATAGTCACCAGATATATACTTACTGGTCTTTTTTTTGCTGTTACAAAGTTTTTTGAGGAAGACCAATGATCAAATATAGAACGACTATTTAGCAGTGACTTGATGAAGATAGAAACCTTTCACAATTTAGTAGAAAGGAATATAATTAAATAGCATGGAATTGACTTACCCTTTATGACTTCATACTTACGAATGTATATTACCACTTAGTATTAATCTGGGTGTAAAGAAATATGAATAAACTTTTAAGTTCTTAAATAGAGGGGTGATACTCTGGTTAATCCATGTTCTTTCAGCTTTTCACCTTTGGTTTGTACATCAAAGATTGTAACACTGCTCATAGCAGATAAAATTCAAGCACTGAGGAGAGAAGTGAATCTGTGTATGTTATAGTATCCATACTGAGCATCAAGAAGTTTTTTTTCCACATTTTCCACATTTTTTTCCCAAAATTAGACCAATTTCTGTGTGTAAAATGCCATCTTTAAACTTATCTTTAAAAACTATTCAGATCTATATTCTTTTAAGATAAGGATCAGTGTACTTGCTTATTTTTTTACCTGCCCTCAGCAGTCCTTTTAAGTTTAAAAGCTATGTGAGCTCTGGAATCCCTGAATAAATTCACCATGTTCCTCTCTCCAGTGATCTAGAACAACTTCGAAAAATCAGACGACGAAGTCCCCATGAAGATACTGAGTCCTTTACTGTATACTTGAGATCAGATGTCGAGGCAAAGTAAGAACATATTTCTTTTAGAATGAAAGTACAAGTCAAATTTGGGATTAGTAGAAACACATTTAGACACATAGATTTAGTATTTTTGTATGACACATTTTAAAACTAGAGAATATTTTTGTGTTTGCAGATTTCTTTATCTGAAACTTATTGGTATGTACTTGTTAACCAAAAATAGTCATAACTTATAAGAAAATTGGTTTTTGAACTTACTTTTATGTTTAGGTTTAATTTAGAAAAGTTCCTTAAGAGTTTTATATTTTTCCTGAAGGTCATTATGCTTTGTTAAAGATTCTCAGAGTTTCTGGATTTTACAGCTGGTTGTTAATGGTAACTTAATCTATCAAATATTTCATTTAGATTTAAATATGCTCATAATAAAGTCATTAAAATTGTTCATTGTTGGTGGCCATGTATGTGCACACAGATCTTTGGAAGTTTGGGGAAGCCCTGAAGCTCTTGCCAGAGAGAAAAAACTGCGTAAAGAAGCAGAAATAGAATACAGAGAACGTAAGTATATTCAGTTTAAAGCTGAGTTTATTGAAAAGTAACTTGTAGATAAGAAATGTGCCTTTAATAATTATCTACTCCCTAGTGCTTGTGTAGGAGCCCTGGTGGTGCTGTGGTTAGGCATTTGGCTGCTAACCAAAAGGTCAGCAGTTCGAATCCACCAGCCACTCCTTGGAAACCCTATGGGGCAGTTCTACTCTGTCCTATAGGGTTGCTGTGAGTTGGAATCAACTCGATGGCAATGGGTTTTGTTTTGTTTTTCAGTGCTTATACACTACTTGGGCTTTACTTTGTTCTGTTGTTGTTGTTGTTAGGTGCCGTTGAGTTGGTTCTGACTCATAGTGATCTTATGTACAACAGGACGAAACTGCCTGATCCTGCGTCATCCTCAAAATTGTTGTTATGCTTAAGCCTGTTGTTGTAGCCACTGTGTCAGTCCATCTCGTTGTGAATCTTCCTCTTTTTTGCTGACCCTCTACGTTACCAAGCATGATGTCCTTCTCCAGGGACTGATCCCTCCTGACAACATGTCCAAAGTATGTGAGACAGTCTTGCCATCCTTGCTTCTAAGGAGCATTTTGGTCGCACTTCTTCCAAGACAGATTTGTTCATTCTTTTGGCAGTCCGTGGTATATTCAGTATTCTTCTCCAGCACTGTAATTTGAAGATGTCAATTCTTCTTTGTTCTTCCTTATTCATCCTCCAACTGTCACATGCATATGAGGTGATTGAAAACACCATGGCTTGAGTCAGGTGCACCTTAGTCTTCAAGATGACATCTTTGCTTTTCAGCACTGAAAAGAGGTCTTTTGCAGCAGATTTGCCTAGTGCAATGCGTCTTTTGATTTCTTGACTGCTGTTTCCATGGGTGTTGATTGTGGATCCAAATAAAATGAAATCCTTGACAACTTTAATCTTTTCCCCATTTATCATAATGTTGCGTATTGGTCCAGTTGTGAGAATGTGGGTTTTCTTTGTGTTGAGTTGTAATCCATACTGAAGGCTGTGGTCATTGATCTTCATCAATAAGTGCTTTATGTCCTCTTCACTTTCATCAAGCAAGGTTGTGTCGTCTGCATAATGCAGGTTCTTAATGAATCTTCCTCTAATCCTGATGCCCCTTTCTTCTTCATATAGTCCAGCGTCTCGGATTGTTTGCTCAGCATACAGATTTAATAGGTATGGTGAAAGGATACAGCGCTGATGCACACCTTTCCTGACTTTAAACCACACAGTATCTTCCTGTTCTGTTCGAACAACTGCCTCTTGGTCTGTGTACAGGTTCCTCATGAGCACAATTAAGTGTTCTGGAATTTCCATTCTTCACAGTGTTATCCATAATTTGTTATGATCCACACAGTCAAATGCCTTAGCATAGTCAGTAAAACACAGGTAAACGTCTTTCTGGTATTGTCTGCTTTCAGCCAGGATCCATCTGACATCAGCAATGATATCCTTGGTCCTGCATCCTCTTCTGAATTTGGCTTGAGTTTCTGGCAGTTCCCTGTCGATATACTGCTGCAGCTGCTTTTGAATGATCTTCAGCAACATTTTCCTTGTATGTGATTCTAATGATATTGTCTGATAATTTCCATATTCCATTGGATCTCCTTTCTTGGGAATAGGCATAAATATGGATTTCTTCCAGTCGCTTGGCCAGGTAGCTGTCTTCCAAATTTCTTGGCATAGACGAGCGAGCACTTCCAGCGCTGCTTCCATTTGTTGAAACATCTCAGTTGGTATTCCATCAATTCCTGGAGCCTGGTTTTTCGCCAGTGCCTTCAGTGCAGCTTGGACTTCTTCCTTCACTACCATCGGTTTCTGCTCATGTGCTGCCTCCTGAAACGGTTGAACGTTGACCGATTCTTTTTGTATAGTGATTCTGTGTATTACTTCCATCTTCTTTTGATGCTTCCTGCGTCGTTTAATACTTCCCCTGTAGAATCCTTCAATATTGCAACTTGAGGCTTGAATTTTTTCTTCAGTTCTTTCAGCTTGAGAAATACCGAGCATGCTCTTCCCTTTTGGTTTTCCATCTCCAGGTCTTCGTACATATAGTTGTAATATTTTACTTGGTTGGCCATTTGTATATCTTCTTTGGTGAAATGCCTTTTGAGTCCTTTGCCCATTTTTTCGCTGGGTTGTTTGTTTTTTTGTTCTTGTAGGACTTCTTTGTAAATATATTTTGGATAATAAACCCCTATCTGGTATATAGTTCCAAAATATTTTCTCTCATTCTGTAGATTGTCTCTTCACTTTGCTGATAAAGTTCTTCAGTGAACAAAAGTGCTTAATTTTGATGAAGTCCAATTTATCTTTTTTGTCTTGTTGCTCATGTTTTTGGTGTTATATCTAAGAATCTATTGTCAAATCTTGATCCTGTAGCATTACCCATATGTTTTGTTCTAAGAGTTTTAGGTTTTAGTTCTTACATTTAGGTTGTTGATTCATTTTGAGTTAATTTTCATATATGGTGTGAGGTATGGGTCCAGCTTCTTCCTTTTGCATGTGGAATTCCATTTGTTCCAGTAGCATTTATTGAAGAGACTATTCTTTTCTCCACTGAGTGGACTTAGCATCCTCATCGAAAATCAGTTGATCATAGATATAGTAATTTATTTCTGGACTCTTCGATTCTATTCTCTAGGTCGATGTGTCTATCATTATACCAGTACCAGAGTGTTTTGATTACTGCAGCTTTAAAGTATATTTTGAAATCAGGAAGTGTGACTCTTCCTACTTCGTTTTTCTTTTTCAGAGTTGCTTTGGCTATTCCTTGTTGTTCTGTATAAATTTGAGTATTGACTTCTCTGTTTCTGCAGAGAAGGTGTTGGAATTGTGATGGTTATTGTGTTGAATCTGTAGATTCCTTTGGGTAGTATTGACACCTTAAAAATATTAAGTCTTCCAATCCATGAACATGTAATATCCTTCCATTTATTTAGGTCTTTTTAATTTCTTTCAGCAGTGTTTTATAGTTTTCAGTGTACAAGTGTTTCGCCTCCCTGGTTAAATTTATTCCTAGGTATTTTATTCTTTTAGATGCTATGATAAATGGAATTATTTCTTTAATTTTCTGTTGAGATTGTTCATTACTGCTTTATAAAAACCCAGCTCATTTTTGTGAGTTGACCTTACATCCTGCCACTTTGCTAAATTCATTTATTAGCTCTGCTAGCCTTCTTGTGGATTCTTTGGGATTTTCTATATATAGGATCATGTCATCAGTGAAAAGAGATAGTTTTACTTTTTCCTGTCTAATCTGGATATCTTTCATTTCTTTTTCTTGTCAAATTGCTCTGGCTAGAACTTCCAGTATATTATTGAATAGCAGTGGTGAGAACAGGCATGCTTGTCTTTTTCCTGATCTTAAGGGGAAAGCTGTCGGTTTTTTCCATTGAATATGATGTTAACTGATTTTCATAAATGCCCTTTATCATATTGAGGAAATTCCCTTCTATTTCTAGCTTGTTGAGTGTTTTTATCATGAAAGGGTATTTGATTTTGTCAAATGCCTTTTCTACATTGGTTGAGAGGATCATGTGGTCCTTTGTTCTATTAATGTGGTGTATTACATTGATTGATTTTCTAATGTTGAAGCATCCTTCCATTCTTACGATAAATCCCACTTGATCATGGCGTATAATCTTTTCAGTATGCTTTTGTTTTTGATTTACTAGTATATTGTTGAAGATTTTTGTATCTGTATTTTTAGGGATATTGGTCTGTAGTTTTCTTTTCTTGTGGTGTCGTTGTCTGGCCTTGGGATCAGGGTGATGAGTTAGGAAGTATTCCCTCTTCTTCTTTCTTTTTTTTTTTAAGTTTAAGAAGCCGTCTTGTCCAGGACTTTTCTTTGTCGAGGGGTTTTTGATTACTTATTCAATCTTTTCACTTATTATGGGTTTGTTGAGATATTCTGTGTCTTCTTGAGACAGTGTACTAAGTTTGTATGTGTCTACCAATTTGTCCATTTCTAAGTTATCCAATTTGTTGGCCGATTATCTTTTAATATGTTGTTAGTTTTCCTATTCTGTAATAATTTTTATATCCTTTGCTCACTCTTCTGTTACATTGTCTTTTTGTAATTGATTTTCATGGGTTTTTGTGGATATTAACACTTAATTTTATATGTTCTAAATATTTTCTTGCATTCTGTTTTCACCTTTTTTTGTTGTTGTTTTCCTCCATTTTAGTAGGGAAACTTCAGACATATTCAGAAGTAGAGAGGACAGCAAATACCTATCACCCAGCCGTACGGTTGTCAACACATAGCCAACTTTGTTTCATCTATATTCCCATCGCTAACTTCTGTCCTACTGGATTATTTTGAAACCAATCCCAGACAGCATTTCATCTGTAGATATTTCATTTCATATCATGATATTTGCTTTAGTCAGTTCATGTGGTTGTGATGATTGAGCTGTTTTAGAAAAGCTAGATATCCACCACCCGCAGTAACCTGTCAGTCTCAGTAGTCTTCTTAGTTACCCCTTGGCTGAAGGCGTAGGATGTTCTTGTATACATTTAATTCTGGCAAAGAAAGTGAGTGAACTTCTGTTGATGATTCATTTCCTGATTAACGAATCATTTCTTGGCAAAACAAAGTGTTACATCCCTTTCTAGCTAATCTGGTTAGGAGGTATAAGGAGTATATTTGAGATTCTTATAGGCCTGAAATACATAATACTAAGTTATCTACATATTGAATAAGTATAGATTTCATTGCATAATCCAAGTCCATTAAGTCATCATTTAGGCATTTTGAAAAGAATGAAGGAGAGTCAGTGAACCCTAGTATCAGGGATTTTGGTCTCTCAGAAGAAGCTGACAGTTGTTTTTTAACTGTCTTTATCCACAGATGGCCTAAAGAGTGCTGCACATAAATCCCTCTGCAATGAAATAGTCACTTTCAATGGAAGAAATACATATTGAGGTCAGGGTGCCCCAGAAATCTTGGTATCACTATTTTGTTAATGGCTTTCATTGGCTTTCTTTATAGG